GTTGTGCAGGGCGATCAGTAAATACTGAAATAGTTATTAACTTCGGCTAGTTGAATTACGGTTAACTGGGCTTCTGACATATAACATTTTTAATCAAAAATACAGGGTAGTTTGAGGAGGTATCTGCAGATGTGGAAGTGAAATCTTCCAAGAGAGAGCTATTCAACACTGCTGCAGACAGATCACCCTCAGCGCTATTCAAGGTCTCAGGCAATTCTTCTGCCTTGGAGACATCATATTCCGTTTTATGTGGTTCGGATAGACCCATTAGCTTGCTTTCTGAACTACTGATTCCCTGGATTTTGCCGGGTTTAGTAATCACCTTCTGGCCTACTTCATCAATAAGTTTACCCTTTGATGATGCCGCTTCCTCTAAAGTCAGCTTTTCAATACCCTGCATATCTTGAGGTCGAGCAATTGAAGTATGAGATAATTTCAAATGTCGGTCTGATGGTTTATCGCCCAATATCTGAACCACATTTGTCACCGACCGACAGCTTTTATCCCCTAATTTTAGTGCACATGATAGCGCGGAGCTTTTCAATTCCATAGTTGTTGACCAGTTATCTTGTCTGCGCTGGCTTAAATTAACGCGACCACATGTCAAAATACTAACCATTTGGTCACGATAAAATTGAAAGAAGATTGAATACAGGTAGCCATTAACGGCATAATTAATATCCTTTACGGAAGTTAACAGTCGTGTTAGGTGACCCATGAATTCATGCTGACACTGGTTGCTATTGTCATTTGTCAAGCTGGCTCGATAGCAAGTGGCAACAGCAACAGGAGTCGTAAAAATGAGGTAGAAACAAGCTAATAGCAATTGGGCAATGACTCGACCCAACTCTCGGCCCACCTCATGCCTGCGTCGAGAACCCTGGCTAGTTATGGTGCATTGACGTCTTTTACTTTGTTTCTGCCAGATTAGTGGACGTGCTGAACCATTTAGCTTGCTCCTCAGTGTCACGTTGTGCGGTGGTAAAGTCTTAGCCACAGAAGAAGTAATAACCTGTTCATCGGCACCGGTTTCGTTTCCTTCATGGGCCTCTTTCGCAATCGTGCCACACTCAGCTGTTCTCAAGATTCCAGGAGATTCAACATTTGAGTGACAAGAGGAATTCATGATTCTGGAGTTACTGGGCTTGGAATAAGCTGTTCTGGCACGTAAGAGCAGCTGCCGATTGGCTCGCAACTGAGCCAGTTTAATGAAAATTATGGTGTTTGTGATAACGAGGAGTAGGCATGGCAGCAGATAGGTAAGAAGGGCGGTACTAGTGAACGAAAGGAAGAGGCCTAATGAACTTTCCTCGGTGCTGCTTTCAATACTGCAGACAAGATGGAATGGCTGATTGTGTCCACCTGATTTTAAAGAGTGAAAGAATGGCATAAAGAATTAGGCTAAAATAGGTAAGAATAAGCAAGAGGAAATAATGTCGTAATTGAAGGCAACCCAAAGTTGTGATTTTGAGGTGATAGAGTAGGTATTGAGCATAAGTAACAAAAGGTTCAATCAAACTTATCGGTGTAGGCTAATCGGAATTTACTTG